GTGTGTGGGGGGAGGGGTCAGTCTGTGTATGTTGGGGAACAGTCTGTGTATGTATGGGTCAGTCTGTGTGTGTGTATGGGTCAGTCTGTGTGTGGGGGGCAGTCTCTCTGTGTGTGTGTGTATGGGTCAGTCTGTGTGTGTGTGTGTATGGGTCAGTCTGTGGGTTTGTACAGGTCAGTCTGTTGTTTTTTGTTTTTTTAACAATTATTAAAGTAAAACTTGTAAAACTCTCCCTTATCCCACTCCCTACACTCCTCTGAACACAGTACACCCTCACAGATAGTGAAACCCCATATGCAGTAAACTTGCATCAACACAGAGTACATCTTTGCATACAAACACACAGTGCACCCCTCACACACATCAACTCTTCACCCCCACACACACATGCATGCATGCATACATACATACATGCTTCACGCCATTACACACGGAATCTCATATATATAATAATATAATAACTACAGCTCCTAGATAAGCACACAATGCAACCCCAATACACATACACTCACAATGCAGCCCCTAGATGCACAAGCACACACTCTGCAGGCCCTTTCAGCACACACACAATCTCAAAAGCTCCTATACATGAGCACTTGCTCACACTACAGCCCATAGTTACACATAGCACACCATAAATAGACTCATATATACACACTTTACCACAGTCCCTTCTAAACACCATGAAAAATTATCTTGCGTCTCCTGAAATAGTTTTCCTGTTTCCTTGAAAAGGTGTCTTGCCTGTAATAAGGAAGGCGCAGCAGTGGAACTACAGGGAGTGCTGGTGCTGCTGTTACACCGGGGCCCATGAAGTGGCCCATGCAATTGGGGCCATCTGATGGGCATGTGTATTCTGGGGCCCAAAACAGGTTTTGCACCAGAGCCCACTCTATGTTAGTTCCGCCACTGTGCAGCAGCTTCCTTGTACCCAAGCGCCACCCCCAATCTCTGACTGAGACACACATTGACAGACATCCACACATTCTGACAGACACACAGTGACAGGGACACACTCTCTGACTGAGACACACACTGACTGAGGCACACACACACTGAGACACATACACATACAGACCATTTTCTCACAAATTGCTATTTTTATTTTTATTTAAATCCACCCGGCCTCCCTACCTCTGGGAGAGCTGAGAGGATCTTTCCCTGGCGTCCAGTGTGTCTCCTCTCAATCTCCCTGCAGTGTCTCTCTGCTCCCCTGCACACTCTCTGTAGTGATGCCGGGGCCAGAGTGATGTCATGGCACTAAACAGTGCACGAGGGAGCAGAGAGGTTACTGCTCCCTCGCGTGCCGCCTTCATGCTCCCCGCGGTGGCCTGCTTTAATGATACCAAAAAGTGACAGATCTGTTTTAATGTATATATTTTTGGAGTATGTCTTAAGGTACATATGGGTGTAGCCAAGTTTTAGTAAAACCTCTTTCATTCTCCCTAGATATATTGTAAGTGTTGTCTCCAGTGACTATATGTATGTGCAAGGTGCAGAGCTCTTGACCTCTCTTCTCATAAACATCAGTGCAACAGAGGAAAACTCTCAACAGTACAATTAGATCACCTTTTCATCAGGGATTTTTTTTTCTCCAAAATCTACTTTTCTTAGCCCCCTTTTTTCCTGCTATGGTTCTGTATTAAAACACTACTTCCAGTTTTTCTTGCACTTTCAAAACACATAAATGTAGGACTTGCCCTGCCCATGCACTAATTAAAATTATAGATATAATGATACAATTATCTCATCATCCCCAAAAAGTTACATCACATTTCATTGTTATTTTAATTATTTTTAAATACACATACATCATTATTTTGGAGTACAGATTTGTTACAATCTTAAGAAAGACATAATGTATAATCATGAAAGGGGTTATTCCCTCTCATATAGTATTAATTTTTTTCAGTATAGAAACTCAATCCTGTTATTGAACTTATTCTCTCCTCTAAGACAATTGTCTAGCGGAAAATAAAATGGTTTTATTTTCTCAACGTTTGTCTTTTTTTTTATATACTCATTTTCTCCACATCTGTGTTTGCAAAGCAAACATGTTTTAATATTCCTTTAATCTGTTTGTACTATTTTGTTAATCTAAATCTGGTAGCTGCAAGGCTGCACTTTAATTAAAGTAAAATTCAGACATGATTATGAGGGTTGTTTTAATTTAGACATTGAAGTAAAGAGTGCAGCAAAAGAGTGGATGGTTTTCTAATTTAATTTGAAGGAAAAAAGGCAAAATTAAAATTATATAGGTATAGATAAGCACCTGGATTCTTAAGTGTGAGTGTGGTATCCTCCGTTTGTGAATTACTACGGTACACTTAGACACTTACCTGGGTCCTGTAGGTGCCTAAGGTACATCCTGCTTTTATTGATAATGCTACACTCTCAGCACATTAATGGAATCCAAAAAAGGGAAAAATCATAAATTCTGATGATCTTAGGCAATGCATCTCTATGGAGAAAGTTTAGTGCCTCCATTCAGAGCCAGGAAGCACACCTCAAGTGGTCGTCTTAGTGACGGCTACTAGAGGTGTCCCTTAGGAGCTTTGTAAACACTGCTTTTCTCTGAAAAGGCAGTGTTTACATGAAAATACTGCAGGGACTGACAATACTCACCAGAACAACTACATTAAGCTGTAGTTGTTCTGGTGACAATAGCGTCCCTTTAACCCCTTCCCGACCCAGGACGGTTCAGGACCGTCATCGGCATTTTTGCGTTGCTGACCGATGACGGTCCTGAACCGTCCTAACGGTCTGAGCTACTTACCTGATCGCCGTCGTTCCCCCGGCGGCGATCAGCGTGGCTCCGGTTGTGGGGAGACTGCCTGCAGCCCAGACAGTCTCCCCACACTGAATTAGGACCCCTGTGGCCATGTGATCGCTCAACACAGCGATCACATGGTCATAATAGGTGTCCATGTGTCTGCCTGCAGGGGGACTGTCTGTGCTGACAGGCAGTCTCCCTGCTAGTGTAAAATCAGTAAAAAAATAAATAAATAAAGTTAGTGTTCATAAAAAAAAATACTTATATATGTGTATATATGATATATAGACATATATTATATCTATATAATATATGTCTATATATCATATATACACATATATAAGTATTTTTTTATTTTTTTTTATAATATATGTCTATATATCATATATATATAATGCCATACTAAGTGTATTTTTATATTAATATGTACTTATATTAATATAAAAATACACTTATAATTAAATTACACACGTATATATATAATATATATAATAACTATATATATTGTATATATATTATTATAAAATATAAATAATAAGTAATTTAAATTAAATAAAAATTTTTTTAAATAATAATAAATTTTTTTTAAATTATATAGCTATATGAAATTTTATTCTAACTGTATTTTAAAATTAATATATATATATTTATATCAAAATACACTTATATATATATCTATGTATATAAAAATAAATAAAAATAATAAGAAATATACATATGTCCATATACAAAATTACATAAATAATTATATAAATATACACGTAGACTTCAAATATATAAATATGCATATATATTTAAATTCTACGTGCGTATTTATGTAATATTTTTTACATAATTCAGTAATTTTATTGATTGCAATTTGAGGGACCTGCCTGCCAACCCAGGCCGAAATTCCAGAGAATTTAATTTGCTAGCACTGTATTTTACCCTGTAACGTTCTACGACACCCTAAAACCTGTACATGGGGGGTACTGTTTTACTCGGGAGACTTCGCTGAACACAAATATTAGTGATTCAAAACAGTAAAACATATCACAGCGATGATATTGTCAGTGAAAGCTACTTTTTTTGCATTTTTCACACACAAACAGCACTTTTACTGATGATATAATTGTTGTGATACGTTTTCCAGTTTTTAAACACTAATATTTGTGTTCAGCGATGTCTCCCGAGTAAAACAGTACCCCCCATGTACAGGTTTTATAGCATTTTTGAAAGTTACAAGGTCAAATATATGGGTCAAATATTTTTACATTGAAAATGGCCAGGTTGGTTACGTTGCCTTTGAGAGCGTATGGTAGCCCAGGAATGAGAATTACCCCATGATGGCATACCATTTGCAAAAGAAGACAACCCAAGGTATTGCAAATGGGGTATGTCCAGTCTTTTTTTAGTAACCACTTGGTCACAAACACTGGCCAAAATTAGCGTTCAATTTAGTTTTTTTACTTTTTTCACACACAAACAAATATGAATGCTTACTTTGGCCAGTGTTTTCGACTAAGTGGCTACTTAAAAAGACTGGACATACCCCATATTGAATACCCTGGGTTGTCTACTTTAAAAAAAATATGTACATGTGGGGTGTTATTCAGAGATTTATGACAGATAATAGTGTTACAATGTCACTATTGATAAATTTTAAAAATGTATGTTTTGAAACCGCAATATCCTACTTGTACCTATAGCCCTATAACATGCAAAAAAAAGCACATAAACACTAGGTATTTTTAAACTCAGGACAAAATTTTGAATCTATTTAGCAGTTTTTTTCATTCGCTTTTGTAGATGAGTAAAAGATTTTTCAAGTAAAAGTCAAAAAACATGTATTTTTTTCAATTTTTCATCAGATTTTTTTTATTTTTTTTAAATTAAAATACATGAGATTATATAAATAATGGTATGTAAAGAAAGCCCATTTTGTCCTGAAAAAAAACAATATATAATTTGTATGGGAACAGTAAATGAGAAAGCGGAAAATTACAGCCAAACACAAACACCACAAAAGTGTAAAAATATGCCTGGTCGCAAATGTACAACATCGCAAAAACAGTCCAGTCCTTTTGTAAAGATTCGTCAAGCTTAGGAAAAATACATAAGACAAAATAGTCCAAACTTTGTTTTATGTTTTAAGGGAAATAGATCAGAAATTAAGAAAATGAGAACAAATTCTGAAAGAGGAAGAGCAGAGGAAACAATAGGAGAAAGGTAAGTTAGAGGTAACAGAGCCACTTTAAAATGGCAACACTAATACGATCAGCGTTTAGTTAAATCAACCTATTTGGCATTAATAAATTGATCCTGTGTTGTCCATTTACTAAACAGCATGTTGTGGTTAAACAAGCTCTGTAATTCATGCCATTGAAGCCTAGCTGAGAATATAGAGATGCTGAAGAATTTTCTTTCATTTTATATGTTTTTTTAATTCACCTCAACTCTTTGTTTAGTGAATGAATACACTTCATATGAAAGAATAATTCACTCCAACGTTTGCTTGCTTATTTATTTATTAAGATTAAGAGGAAGCTAGCAATTATTTTGACGAACAAATGTATATTTATTCAGCATTAGGTAGATATAGCGATATTAGTGGATAATTAACCGGGATAGATCTACCTGCAGTCATAGTAAAGTATAATTACTGTAAGTGTCACCCGCATACTCTAGGCTAAATATAAAACATCTAGTTGTGAATTATTCTTTAATAAATGTGGTTCAAATGAATGTCCTTTGAAAAGCGATTTGCATTGGAATAATCAAATACAAGCAGAAGATAAGAGTAAACATGCATAGTAGTTAAATAAAACAATTTGCTGTTGATGTAACCGGTGACATTGCTAAAACACTTGATTAGAGTAATTTATCAAAGTGTCGGTCCAATACGATATAATTTAAGCAGTTTTTCTTTTGCATCCATTTTTTTTAAGTAAATTGCTTTAAAAAGGCTTGAGGCACAGTGCTGCTGTAATTATCCTGGTATATTAATGGAACCCTCCTAATTGTTTATAATGCTTAGTGTGTATTATTTCCACAGAATCATGCTTTAGCAAATTAACCATTTTCATCTCACTTGGCAGCTGGAGTGAGCAGTTTACACTAATGGTTGTACATGTAAATGATAATTTAAAAGAAACAGTATAGAGGATAGCAGGAAATAACAAAATGTGATATTTGGTATAATCTAATAGTGAACCTAATATTAAATATACTTGGTAGCTCGTCTTATGTTCTGCTCGTTAAGAGCGTTTTTAGACGCTGTGGCAATGTTGTTACAATTGTTTCAACCAGACGTTCACAAGTGTGGTCTGATGTGTATCGTTGTGTTTTTAGTGTAAAGAAGTATAATCACGAATAGTTACAACAGGTTAAAGTACTGAATTAGTATAAATTATCTTAAGTGTTTTAACAGTTAAAGTATATAAGAAACACACTTTACGATTGTTTAAATTGTTTTAAAAGCATCAACAATGGACTGTAGAACAGCTTTTAATATGGTACCATGTATATGAATTTTACCATTATCGATATAATGATGCCAATGTCCAATATATTGCTAGTAACATACATACTACTGCTTTATGCTATAATTTTCTATAATGTGAGTATATGTCTTTAAGAACTTTTAAATCTGCTTGCCCGGTAAAGTATAAAACCGCCAAGCAATGGCCGGGGCACCTTTCTTGAAAAAGCCCTCAGAAGAAGGGCTAAACGCGTTGAAGGTGCCTGCTTTCAAGCTCCATATCTTATGCTCTGAATGGGTTCCAACAGCCAGTGTGATTTACCCCCAGCGTTTCTCCGCTAGAAGATCATTACAGCCTGCCTTTGTGCACGAGGCAGACGCTGTCGCCTCTGGAGAACCGGGCATCCCCTTTGCTACCCTGTGAGAAACTGCTGCTATTCAAACTGACATTGTGGTCCTTAGTGATAAGTAACACATTTTTATTTTGTAAGAGTTCCTTATTGGGGGGGGGGACGGGGGGAATTTTTGAACAGGGGCAATAAACATAATAGTGTTACACTATATTCTGTTTTCTTGCTTTAAAGTTATATCCAGTACACCATTTGGTTCCATATTGCCATAACAGGATCTGGACCACCTTCTCCCCAAGACTTTTATTGTCTTTGGACATTATTGGATAAGACTTATGTTGTTTTATTTTTCAGATATATTTTTTATTTTTGTATATCCCTATATGACTTCAAAGGTAAATATTCACTAAGCGCTGACATAATTTATTTGCATCCTAGTAAGAAGCGTGCTAAAGGCCTAGGCAAATTGATCCATAGTGATCATTCTCCTCTAGCTTTCTCTCACAAACTGCTATGTGCTGACACAATTCTGCAGGATCTATGGCCATGTCGTAATGTCAGGATTACAAATTGATCCAGCATGCAGAACTGTGTCACACGTAGGACTAAGGATAACGTAAAACCGGACCTTAGAATGGCCAGACTTAACGTATCCAAGAATAGTCAAAATACTTGCCGAGGTCAGGAACACAGAATCAGACACAATGAGGGAAAGGATACCAGAATTCAGGGAAGTCAAATAGCAGAAAATCAAGATCAGGAACGCACTCTCGGATTACCATCAGGATGTAAACACGGCAGGGCAATGAGTAAAAAAAGAATTGGGTTTAAATACCCCTCCTCTGGATCTGATTGGCCGTAACCGGCATTTGACCGCAAAAGCAATTACCAGGTTTCCATGTGCATGATAGCTGCTCAGCACAAACCCTCCTGTGGATCTGATTGGCCGTAACCGACCTTTGACCAAAATAGCAATTACCAGGCTTCCATGTGCATGATTGCTGCTTGGCACAACTTTTACTGTCATGATGGTAATGTTACAATCAGGTGAATGGGCAGGTGTGTGTGTCATTTACCTGGGGAAGAGATGGCAGCAGGATGTAATACAGGAAGAAGGCAGGCCAGCAAAGGCAATGTTATGCTCTGAGCAATGTTCTCCTAAGAAATCTTGGGTCCTGGCATTCAGATTGTTGAGATTGTTGCAGACCATGTACACCACTTTATGGCAATGGTGTTGCCTGATGGCAGTGGCTAGAAGTTGTCTTCTAAATTCACAGGTACACACATTCCTCCAGTATAATAATTTTCTTGGCAATGGTGTTGTTTATTTAAAAAGAATCAGGCGCGCACATCCTAATTAAATAAACAAACTAAATTGACTCAGAGAATCTTGCAAATGCCTTTTAATGTTAATGTTATTTAATTGACATTTGAAACCATCTATTGGGTCAGATATTTACAGTTTATCTTGAGGACATATTTTTGCTTGCCTTTTTTTTTCTATGCATATGACCTTATTTTATAGTCTTTTGTATAATTTTGCTTCAAATATATATTTTTTTACAATCAAAATGAATGTTTGTACCTCTGTATTTGTTTTTCTATGCATAAATACATGTCTAAATACATGTATTGACCTTGAAACACTTATAGCTACAAGTGCTATTGCTTTGCTATATACACCAGTCATTCCTCCTAGCTATAGGGGACTCTAAGATGAAAAGGACAGAGGAATTTAAGGCAGAACTTGGGACTTTCCTTCACTAAGAGAAGCAATTGCAAGGTGTGGATAGTGTAACATTGTAAGTGTCTATAAAGTCCACAATATTGAATAATTAAATATGAGAATGATTGAAACCCAAAGTTTGAAAACGAATGTCACAAATAAGATTAAATTTCAGAAGTGAAATGTAAGAAGACCAGAGACTGTAAGGTGACAGATTCAATTTAAAAGACGAATGACAAATTGCTATTGTGTACTGACCCAAAGCACAGGCCCTAAAGAAATGATCTATGGCAACTAGTAGTCTCAACATCCCGCAATACATTGTCTGCTTTAATGGCAGGTTACTGAAAGAATAGATTTGAAAAATAACTATTTTATTTTTCTGATTATCTGAAAAACCTATTGGCAAAAAACAACAACTTACATTTAGAAATGTATACAGGTTGTTAGAGTTATTCATATTGAGGTGAATTTAAAGTAAATCTAAAATTTTAGATCACAATAGTCAAACTAAATAAAGTTGGCTATGTTTTCTTTTAGGTTATTTTTACATTTATTTTGAATTCCCAACAAATACCAGTGCATTTGTTCTTTTTTTTTTTTTTTTCGTCAGTATGCTCTCTACAGGTTCTGTACAAGAGGTAGAAATAAGTAAAGGCAGAAGAAAAATCTTTTCACCTTTGAAATATCTCCCTTTGGAAAATATTCAGTGGAGGCACATATATAAAGGCAGCTTCCCTCCATTTTGTTACAATAAAAATAAATTATTATATAATTATTTTTTTTCTGTTAGAGGTTGTAACTTTTTTTTTTTTTTGAATAAACGTACACCTTTGAAAAGTGTCTGTTTGACCAAAGATGTGTGGTTTATGCCATTATAATTATCAGTACTGCAGTTTCCCTCCCACCTTATTATTATTATTATTATTATTATTATTATTATTTATAAAGCGCCAACAACTTCTGCAGCGCTGTACACTGGGTGGGCTAAAAAACACACAATCACTGTACAGTAACAGTCAAGCTTAATGAGCTTACATGCCCCTCTATTGCTGCCATGGACAGTTCAACACAAACACAAAAAACATGACCAGATTTATTGTCATTTGCCCAAAACAAAAATCTGACTAAATCATATTAGAGGTTTTGTTAATAGACCTCATTGGCTGTCTGACAGCCACCAGTTGTTTCCAATGTCTCAGTTTGAATAGCAAATATGCTGCACTAGAAGACAGACCTGCCTACTTGGCTGTCATAGGCTGCTAGTATTAGGGCTGGAGTTGGCAGGACTCCACTTCCCCTGATGCAGCCTCCGTTTTAACTTCATACGTGCTGCATTGTTTAAGCCTGGAGCTTGTGCTGCACAACGTGAAAAGTGAAGAGACAGTGACTGACAGCCCTAGCTCCATTCTATACATACATATACAATACATCTCTGCACCTTCTCCCCTGTAGTCTCTGATAAGCCTCCTATTGCTATGGCTTTCAGTCCATGCCTCCCTCAATCTCTCCTCTGGTGATAGCTTTCCACTGCAGTTGCATCCAGGAAGGAACTGAAACAGCTGTTACCCAGCCAGGTAGGACTTTGTCTGATACTCTCCATTTATGGAAACTGATCTAAAGTGTTTAGTAGCTATATCTTACCTTTAGCACTGCAGTACTTGCTGACTACAGTTCATGTGAGACTCTGACAGCTATACAGCTGGCTAAGTGTCTTGAGAAATAGCATGTACTTGAACTGGACTGTTACTGCTAATATATAAGGATCATGAAGCATAAAAAGTAATATTTTATAAAGTAATAAAATTAAGAAAATCATCCACTTGGTGACACTGTAAGTAATAACAACTTTAACATATATTGATAGAATATAGGTATTAGCACATTAAGTGGGCAAAGTCCATCAGGTTAGAGGCAAAGTAAGAGGGGTTGGATCAAGTTCTATGAGTGGAGTCTACTATGCCACAAAAAAAAAATCATCATTAGACGCCACGGAAAATAATTCAAAAAATATTAACCGTGTTATTACATACTTGCAGTACAGACTCAGAAGAGGTTACACTGACCCACTTGTGCCTCCCCTACCCCAAGCATTATAATATTGCCAGAGTGCCAGGCAGTGCATTAGCTACTTTCCAGCCACAGAATACTTGGTTGCTTCAGAATGTCAAATGTGTAGGGAATGTGGCTTTAGGAGATGTGGTTTGGTAGGCAGACAGGGGAGGTACAATCACATACTTGAACCCAGGCAGCATAATGTGTTGGGTCAGCCCTTGGGCAGATTAGATGGGCCGGGCCGAATGGTTCTTATCTGCCGTCACATTCTATGTTGCTATGTTTCTTCAAACATTGGATTATTATTGCGCGCATAGGCATGTGCACGGGTTGTGCCCGGTGTGCCTGGGCACACCCTAATCCCTGCAGCCTGTGCTCTGTGCCTCCATGGGCCGGTGAGGGAGAGCAAAGATCTTTCTCACCGGCCCACAGGCAGGGATGGAGTCAGGAGAGGACCCGGGTTGCTCCGCTGGGTTCCTCTCGCGAGGTCGGAGTGCTGTCGCGGCAACGCCCAGATCTCGCGAGAGTGAACTCTAGCCCCACAGGGCTAAGAAGGGAGGGGGGCTATTAACTAAATGGTCACCCCACCCCCACGCAACACACACACACACACAGCACCCACACACATACAGCACCCTCACACACACATCACACTCACACACAGCACCCTCACACATACACACACACAGCAAACATTAAGAGCACCCTCACACACACAGCACCCTCACACATACACACACACACTAACAGCGCCCTCACACTCACACAGCACCCTTACACACACACACACACTAGCAGCATCCTTACACACACACACCATCCTTACAAACACACACACACCACCCTCACAAACACACACACAGCATCCTCATACACACACAGCACCCCGCCCCACACAGCGCCACCCCCCACACACACACACACAGCAGTGTATGTGTGTGTGTGTGTATGTATGTATGTATGTATATATATATATATATATACATATATATATATATATTCCGCGTGTATGTTTGTGCTTTAGGGTGCACACCGTCAGTGAAATTTATAATTAAATGCCTTTAAAATACAATGTTGGTGACAACCTAAGATTATTTAAACAATCTAAAATAAAGTACAGAATTAGGGTATGTTACATTTATTTTAATTAATAGTTTCATATAATGATAATTATTTTTTACATGAGCATCACTGTATTAGTTAAGGAATATTTATCTCAGGTCCCATGAAGAAACATGCTAATTTTTACACCAGCCCTCCAGCACTCACAGGTAAACACATGGAGCATACCTTTATATCAAATAGCCTACCAGCCTACAACACAAATACAAATATCACACTAATTGAATGTGAAAATGCATAACTTACTTTCAAGACTGATCACGATACAAGAACCAATGCATCATGAAGCTTATGGTTGTGTTTTTGTTAATTCAATGTATTTAAAGTAAATAAATAAATACAATGATTTGTTTTACCGAATCACCCTTTGTGCAACTTTCTACCAATTGGCAGTGTTTCCTTTTTTGTTTTAATTATACATTTATGCATGATATAATATGGCTACACAGCACTGAAATTGAAATTAATAGTATGACACCATAAAATCTAAAAGTTACTTACAGGTAGCTGTTTTTCTAGACAAATGCTAAAGTTTTTGGTTTGGTTAGGTTTCAGCTTTTTCAACGGAATTCTTGTTTCTCCAATGAATTCATTGTGCCGGAATTTATCTTCATCACATACAGAAATTCTATGCATAAATCACAGAGAAAAGAATATTTAGCTTGCAAGAAACATCTTTAGTAAAACAACAATCATATGATGATAGTATGATGTAACACAAATTAAAACCACATCATCTATAGCAAAACTAAACTACCACTTAGTTTAGTGCATCACCGCCTTAATCAATAAATACAAAAGCTGTTAGCCAGGTTCAATATACTGTTGTACAATCCTTGTACAGCATATTATCTTGCATCAATACCCTGTTAAAAATATAATTTTTTACGTCAGCATCCAGACAAGTACAGTACGATGCTTTGAGTGCTCCAATTTTTGTAGACCTTCACGTGGAGACCACTTTTAACCCCTTAAGGACCAAACTTCTGGAATAAAAGGGAATCATGACATGTCACACATGTCATGTGTCCTTAAGGGGTTAAAGGGACACTATAGTCACCAGAACAACTACAGCTTAATGTAGTTGTACTGGTGAGAATCATTGCCTTCAGGCATTTTCATGCAAACACTGCCTTTTCAGAGAAAAGGCAGTGTTGACATTGCCCTTAAAGGACCACTATAGTGCCAGGAAAACATACTCGTTTGTATACCCCTCCCGCTGGGCTGGATGGAGAGGAAAGGGGTTAAACTTTTTTTCCAGCGCCGGGCGGGGAGCTCTCCTCCTCTTCTCCACCTCCGATCCTCCTCTTCGGCTGAATGCGCATGCACGACAAGAGCTGCGCGCGCATTCAGCCTGTCTCATAGGAAAGCATTCATAATGCTTTCCTATGGACGCTTGCGTCTTCTCACTGTGATTTTCACAGTGAGAAGCACGCAAGCGCCTCTAGCGGCTGTCAATGAGACAGCCACTAGAGGATTTAGAGGCTGGATTAACCCATTTATAAACATAGCAGTTTCTCTGAAACTGCTATGTTTATAAAAAAAAGGGTTAATCCTAGAGGGACCTGGCACCCAGACCACTTCATTAAGCTGAAGTGGTCTGGGTGCCTAGAGTGGTCCTTTAAGGACACCTCCAAGTGGCCACTCCTCACATGGCCACTGGAGGGGTTTCCAGGCTCAGTGCTGCACAGTAGGACGCTGAATTTTCCTCATAGAAATGCATCTCTATGAGGAGGTGCTGATTGGCCAAAACGGTGTTTGGCCCTGCCCTCTTGCCAATTTTAGCCAATCCAATGCTTTCCCTGTGGGAAAGCATTGGATTGGCTAAAAATCGGCAATTCTGATGATGTCACCAAGGGGGCGAGGCCAGCACTGGCGGACTCGTGGAGAGCGTGGGAAATTACTTTGCAAGAAATATATGAGAACACATTATGTATGTATTTATATATAATGTGAGCTTTTTCTTGATTAATATTTTTGTTCAGTTTTGTAATTCACTAACAACTCACTAATTCATTAGTACATTATTAATAGGACGAAATGCAATACAGTAGTAATGATTTGTTTATTTCTAATTTTGTGCCCAGTATTGTAGCCTCTGCTTTGGCTTAATAAAGATGGCCGCATATTGTACAAATTAATTCAATATACTCCTACATCTTTTAGATCTCTGCTGTTTACTTCTACTGCTTTGGTATATTGTCTGTCTTGCAAACCATGATGAGTGGATGGTACTTTCAATATTATTTCAGTCTGCATTTGAGTATAATATCCAATAATACCAATAACATACTATGTACAGTTAAATCAAATATTTATAAAATAAAGGCGTTTAAAACATTTTATTTTCTGTTTTTCTAAAGTATTGCTAAGAGGTGTATGAGAGATTCCATTCAGTACAAATTCCTGATGGTAGAATATTATAATGTCGATCAGATTCGAGAACGGAATGATAAGATTGGGCCTGCTGCCGGTCCCAATAATACTGGGTTTTCTGTGATACCAGATGATGTTGAACCACTGGATGATACAGGTCTCAGTTCTCCAGGAGTTGTTGTTGAAGAACCAGTTCTGTGTGTTCCATCTGACAGAGCACAGGAAGAAGGGATGGGCACAACTGAAGGTCCAGGTGAAGCAGTTCCAAACATGATTTCGGGGCGCCCAAGACAAAATATTAAACCTCCCAGTTATCTCAAAGACTTTGAGGTCTAGTGGGGAGGAGTGTTATGTATTGGGGTTTATGCAGTCCACCTTCCAGTAGATGGCAGCATAGTGAAGTTATGCACTTGTTCTGTTGTGTTAGTCTCTCTTTTGTAATGTTATTATGTGTGTGTACTGAAGTAAAGAAAAGTTCTATTTTACTACAATGTCTGAGAGCCATTTGTGAATATATAACATGCAAATACTTTAAAATGTACATAAATCTTTAGATGGTATAACACAGTAGACCTCAGAATAACAAGAAAACAAAATAATAGTGCAGTACAGTTTGATATGAATAGTAATTGATTTTGTGGCTCTGTATAAAATCCACTCACATTTTATTGAGCTATATTAGAGCTCAGCTGTAATACGCATGGACGGTATAATCCCCATCTAAGGATATATAGTGATGTGGTCGACATAGGTGCTCCAAATGCGATGCAATATACGTGGTATTTGAAAATAAGGTAATGTACTTACATTTTTGAGAGCAGAACTTGCTCTGGTATAAACAGCATAGGTGGTATAATCCCCAGCTAAGGATATGATGGTACCAGGAAGCAAGAGGTAAATAAAAGATAAATAACTATAAAAAAAGTTAACTTTTATTTAACCATAAAAAAGTATAAAGTAATCTAAGAAGTCCCACTTGACGCGTTTCGCTTTACAAAGGCTTCTTCAGAAATGTGGTTTAGTCCTTACTGAGTTCCGTTTATATATGGGAGTCCTAATTGTAGATGGCTTCCTGGTGAGTCTAATTTCCAGTTTCCTGTTTCCAGGCTGAAGCGCACAAGTCACACTGTAAGTGACGCGGCGGTGATCAATCATTGATGGTCTGGATAGGCTAATTTTGCGTCAATTTGGAATGCACGAAATGCCACAATGGTGTAGATTGCATTCCAAACGCCAATGGTATAGGTCTCTATTGTGTCCATGAAGGGCTGGCGTTATTTTTAATTGTAAACACTACCTCCTGCACAATAATTAATTGGTGGTATAGTATCATGGAAAAAGGAAATGACGTGATGCTTTAGGCTTGTATTCTTACAATATGCCTGTAAAGCTGTAATGGCTCAGCGGCTGTATTTAAAGAAGGCAAAAGTTAGATAGGTGTTACAAATGTATATTTCTATCTTTATGTAATTAAATGATGACATTACTTATATGGTTGTAAATTATTAATTATTGACTGGATCAAAGCCAGCTGAGAGATAGGAGAACTGAAAGAGTTAGAGAGCCGGATTAGTGAATCTTCTCTTTGGATGCTGCTCCCACCTATCCCTTATACACAAGTATGTCCCGTCTAGGCCCTTACGATCTGCTGAAGACTTACGTCTATCTTTTGTCCGTACTCCCACCTCTGATGCTCGCCTTCAAGATTTCTCGAGGGCTGCATCGTTCCTGTGGAACTCGCTTCCCTCCTCTGTTAGATGCTCACCCAGTCTCCACTCCTTCAAAAAATCATTAAAAACCAACTTCTTAATAGTTCCTGACTGATTCCTCTTCTGCAACTGCCACTAGTCTAATACTATCCTTACCTTTTGTGTCATTTTACCCCACTCCCTCTAGCATGAAAGCTCATTGATCAGAGCCCTTAACCCCTCTGTTCGTGTGTGTCCAACTTGTCTGGTTACAACTACATGTCTGTTCGTCCACCCATTGTAAAGCGCTGCGGAATTTGATGGTGCTATATAAATATCATAATTATAATAATAATAATAATAAAACTGATTTAAAAAAAAAAACTCTCTCCAACAATGGTTGCAATCTAATAATTTGGAATTATAAGTTAATTTTTTTTTCTTCTTTTCTGTCACGTGATCTATCAGTTGATTCTGTTTATAACAATTGCTACTAGTCTCTGGGATAAAGTTTATATCTCCTAGGCAGGAGAAGAGATATTAATTGCTTTATACATTTTTTAAGTATATTTTTTGGAAGGGATATGCAGTTTTAAATTTACAATATACTCGTTTTTTTGCTATAGGGATTGAGACACCCTAAGGAAATAGATGCTGTGCTACAAATTGTATTGGGATTACTTTTTATTTTATTTTTTTATTTTTTTTCTTCCCTTTTCTTTCTTAGGAAAACTGATACAGCATGTCACATTCATGCACTATAAACTCTTCCACTCAAACACCTTTTATTCTAAAATGTTGAACACTCCTACTTGCTCTATTATGTTAGATATGTTTCACTTTCTAAATATTTATATTGAGGAGTTTGCACCAAACTGCACTTGATATTGTTAGCAATTTAAAACCTCATCTATTGTGAGGGAGTTTCTTCCCTGTTATATATCATTGTTGAAGAAGTTAACTGCACGAAGGTTAAATATGACACATTTACCTTTCTTTTGCATTCTTCTATTTATTTATTTTTCTTTCCCGACACCCTATCTTTCCCATCTCCTTCCCTCTCTGTCATATGCATGTACTAGGGCAGGAAGGACATGGGAAGGAGTCATGTGGGAAATATATTTGTTTTTAATGTTTCTCTCACTTGTGACTCACCAGTTGGAACTGTTTATAATTTTTATTGGTATTTGGAATAACCCTGGAGAATTTAGCAAAATATATTTTATTTTTTTTTAGGTAGGAGAAGTGATATCAGCTTCATTATGTATCTTTGAGGTTGATATTTTCCTGAAGGGATATACATTTCAAAACTACAATGTATTTGCTTTTCCCATAGTGAGTGTGATACTTTCATGAAATAGATGCAGGGCCAATAACTGTATTAGGATATATATATATATATATATTTTTTTTTTCTTTAAGAAAATTAATATAGGATGTCACACATATGCACAATAAAAACTTTTAATCTAACATTTTTAATGTTAAAATGATGAATGCGCTTATGTGCTATTTAATGAGGGCTGTATTTCACTTTTTACACATCTACAGTGAGGATATTAAACAAAGTTAACTGCACTGGATATTGTTAGCATTTTAAAATTAATAATGCACTCTTTCTCCCTCTCCTGCTCTCCCTTTGAGGAGTTTTCACTAAAGGAAACTAATTGCACTAAGAAGAAATGTTATATATTAACTATATTTTTTTTTACTAAACTACACATTTATGGTTTGAAGTTCAAATATATAATACTATCCAACCAAATTATAAAATCTAGCTATAGATGGAACCACATTACATAAATGTATTTATCTATGAGGAATGGGCTCCAAAGGAGGATGCAAGTACAAAGATCTAGATTGTGGTATTTCATTAATGGATATCTGATTTATAAAATAGGTATGTGAGCACTAACAAACTTTAAAAAAAAAAAAAAAAAAAAGAATAGAGAAGTAGGTTCTTCCATAATAATTAGATGAATATAAATATGGAAGTTAGTATGTTTTTTTACATAGTGCTTTTGCTTTATTTTGTAATTTTTTTTTACATTTTAGTATTTTTTCTCGTACCTGTAGCTTGGGATTGCTCATTTTTTATTATTGGATTCTGAACGTCCTGCATCATCACGGCAGATAGTGGTTTATTTTGTAGACAGGTTAAAGCCTATCTATTTGGCGCTTTACCTATCGGAGGAGATTTTTTTTCCTTTGGGTCTAAGTGGGTGGGAATATGTATGTTTAATGTTTGTGTGCAATATTTTGTTATGTGTTATTAGGGTAGTCTCTGCAGAGGGAGTGCTGGTGAAGGGGTGTGGCCATAATGGGTTAATATGATTAAGTTTGCCTCTTTGAACATCAGGAAGTTGAAAAAGAGAATTATTGGCTAGCAACAGATACGGAGTGGATTAGATCTAAAGATTTTCCCCATGTGTTCAAATCATCTTTGTCAAATAAAAAAAGGGGGTGTTGCTACTTTAATTTCTAGTAGGTTAGCCTTTAAGCTGATACATCAGCACTCCGATACTGAACTTAGGTTTTACATGCTTATATGTGAAATTTACAACCAAAACTTATACAATAGTTAATTTGTATGCCCCTAACCATTCTCCAACTAGATTTATACAGAAGATTGTCTCCCGGGCTGAGAGAATAAAGCAGAGAAGAATTATATTTTTAGGAGATTTCTATTGTTTACTGGGTCCCACCATGGACAGGAACAAATCAAATAAATATGATAGACAAAGCCAAACAATAAACCTTGCTAGACGTTTTAACGAAATTTTGAGGAATAATAACCTCTTGGATTTATGGAGAGTCTGGCACCCCCAAGAAAGGGACTACTCCTGTTTTTAAAGCTCTCATAATGTATATTCTAGAATAGACTACATTCTAGTGGAGGGAGATATAACAAAGATGACTTTAAAAATTATGATAACTACTATCCTATGGTCAGATCACAATGCAATCATTATGGTCATTAATGATAAATTTCTTAAAACAAGATCTAATTGGAGATTAAATTAATGCATTATACAAAATAAACAAAATCTAAATCTGATAAAGGAAGTTACAGAGCTTTATTTTAAAGAAAACTATTCAATAATTTTTCTTATAGTGAGTGTGATACTTTCATGAAAAAGATGCAGGGCCAATAACTGTAATAGGATATAAATATATTTTTTGTATAAAAAAATGAATATAGGATGATCTGGTGTGCTTATAAGTGTACTATTAGAGGACACCTAATTAAATTGGGTAGCCAAGAAAAAAGACGAAACAACTTGAATTTATCAGAATTGTATATAGATTTGGATCGTATAGAGAATGAAAACAGGAGTAGCCCGTCAAAGAAAGGGAGTTATAGGGTAAAGGAAGTTAGGGATAAAATTAATAACATCTTAATTCAAAAAGCAAATTATACTCTTGATCGACCTCAAAGAACATATTATTAAGGGAATAAATTAATGTCTAATAGATTAAAAAACAACAGAGCTAAACAAATAGTTACTAAGATTACTCAGGGCAATGACAGCCTTCTCATCCCAGAAAAAAATGGTGAGGCCTTTCAAACTTTTTACTCGGCCCTATATAACTTACTGGAGAGACAGATATAGCAGGTTTTCTTAACAAATGTAATTTTCTCGGAAGAGCAATTGGTTGCACTTAATGAATAAATTAATATAAATGAAGTAGGAACAGCTGTAAGAAAACTTAATGTAAATAAAAACAAGGTGGAGTATCTTACATATAGTTTGTATATTCCAAGGAATCAAAGAATGAGATCCTATAAGGAAAACAGGAAAAGCAAACACTAGTGCAATATTGCCTGCATATGTAGATGAAATAAAATAGAAATAGGCATTTCACACTCACAAGTGTAGAGCTGTTGGCTTAAACTCTAGGCGTTGTGGGATTATTCAGGGTCCCACTCCCTCCTCTGTATGGTATGGAATTTGCCACTCTTTGATGGTATTCACCACTCCAGGAGTTTTCCAAAATGCTTTATTTAGCCAAACAATGTTAAAAATGATAAGACAATATGTAATAAAAATAAAAAGTCATTACAAGATGTTAGTAAGTGCTTTCAAAGTGCAAAACGCGTTTCACCCCTCCTGAGGGCTTCCTCAGTTCCTCTATTCCAATGTTTCTTGCTGTCTTGTTTTAAATCTTGAAAAGCCTGCCATTCCCCAGGTGTTATCAGTTCCGAGCTGATATTTCCGGGTCTGCGTACGCACGATTTCCATGCGTCCAACGTGCTGCCATGCGTCCGAATTGTTTCCGGTGATTGGAACGCATCCCTACGCTCCATTTCGATCAGCTTTGCTTCCTGTAGGCTGTGCATGTATTTTTCTATTTGGAACGCATTATTTCAAGCCGTGACATGAACACATGGGAAAATTTTAGAGGGGCCTGTCATCTCCAAGATAGAATTATTTCAGGTCTTCCTTTAACTCATCCGATATACAATATCGTTGATCTAAATCTTTCCAACTGGACAAAGGCTGGCCTTACGAAAATTTAAAATCTTCTTGATAAGGACAGGATTAAGGACTTTACTTTGTTAAATGCAGATTTTGGTTTACATAATAAATAAATCTTTAACTATATTAGAAATAAAAGGTTATCTCCAAGAACATGTAATTATGGACAGACCAGTCAAACATATTAAATTAGAAAACAATATTAAGAGTATGAAAATGAATAAACTAGTTGCAGGCTGTATGGATTTGATTAAAGGACCACTATAGTGCCAGGAAAACATACTTGTTTTCCTGGCACTATAGTGCCTTGATGGTGCCCCCACCCTCAGGGACCCCCTCCCGCCCGGCTCTGGAAGGGGGAAAGGGGTTTAAACTTACCTTTTTCCAGCGCTGGGCGGGGAGCTCTCTGCCTCCTCTCCTCCTCCGTTCCTCCTCCTGGGCTGAATGCGCACGCGCGGCAAGAGCTGCGCGCGCATTCAGCCCGTCGCATAGAAAAGCATTTACAATGCTTTCCTATGGACGCTTGCGTGCTCTCACTGTGAAAATCACAGTGAGAAGCACGCAAGCGCCTCTAGTGGCTGTCAATGAGACAGCCACTAGAGGCTTTGGGGGAAGGCTTAACCCATTAATAAACATAGCAGTTTCTCTGAAACTGCTATGTTTATAAAAAATGGGTTAACCCTAGAAGGACCTGGCACCCAGACCACTTCATTAAGCTGAAGTGGTCTGGGTGCCTAGAGTGGTCCTTTAAGGGAGACACTAACTTACCTATTTTACCAGTGATAAAAAAAAATGGAACTAAAAATTGATATTAGTTGTGATGAATGGACAGAATCAATGAAAATGGTCAACAAAAATATTAATTGCTTAAATCTGTCAGAGATACTTTATGAACTTTTAAATAAATGGTACCTGGTCCCAAGTACGCTGTCTAGAATTTACCCCAACGCCTCAGATACATTTTGGAGATGTCTAGTGCACAAAGGAGATTTCCTGCATATATGGTTGGAATGTCAACATATTCAACTATTTTGGAAAATGTTACACATAAAAATTCAAACTTTACTTTCAAAAACTATTGATTTTAACACCAGTATTATTACAATTAAAAATTAAAAACATTTTTGGTCCCGCCTCAACTATTGTGATACACATCTTGGCAGCTGCCAAGATGTTGATTGCCAGAAGCTGGAAGACGGTTATAGCACCTTGCTGGAATCAGGTCATTATTCAAATTATTCACCAAATTAAAATGGAGATGGGCATGTGTAGAACATCATATGATGTGTATAAAAAGTGGTTGGAACAGGTAGAGAAAATATAAGTTAGAGATACCCTCCTATGACGTTAAGCGGTAAATGTTTTCATCTTGGAACATGACTGAGCCAACCCTCTCTCCCGCCCCCTCCTTCCCGTAGGAAACTTAGATTTGTGTTTTTCTTTTTTTCTTTTATTTTGTTTTATTTTTTTTGGGTGTGTTAGTTTTGTTCGGTGATATCCTGATTGTTTTTAATATTAACCAAAATTATGTCAATGGATAAATTGGCTTAAAGTTTTGTGCGTCTCAATAAATGTTTGTATAATTGAAAATTTAATAAAAAAAACTATATATTAAAAAAATAATAAAAGTTCAAGCATTATTTAGACTTATGTCTTAAATAGAATTACGAAATACTCAGATTACTGATATCTAAATATGTGTCTTTATTGCAATGAACGCTATAATTGCACTTTATTCTTTATTTATCATAGTTATATTTACAATTGCATTTAATGGTATGTTTTGTTGTAATGAGCATTTGTACCAGCCTTTTGCCCCCTTTTAAAATGGACACTCAATCTTTTTTTTTTTTTTTCTCATTGTTTTGATGCTGGTTACACATATATTTGCCTAGAGGTTATATTTGTTTTGTTTTTTGTCACTTTAACCATGATGTCACGCTACTGCCACAACATTATAGACTCCTCCAGCATTAATAATTTACAACCAAATAAGTAATGTCATCATTTAATTACATAAAGATAGAAATATACATTTGTAACACCTATCTAACTTTTGACTTCTTTAAATACGGCCGCTGAGCCATTACAGCTTTACAGGCATATTGTAAGAATACAAGCCTAAAGCATCACGTTATTTCCTTTTTCCATGATACTATACCACCAATGAATTATTCTGCAGGAGGTGTGGCTTACAATTGAAAATAACACCAGTCCTTCATGGACACAATAGAGACCTATACCATTGGCGTTTAGAATACAACGTACGCCATTGTGGCAATATGTGCGTTCCAGACTGACTTGAAATTAGCCTCCCCAAACCATCAATGATTCATCACCGCAGCGTCACTTCCGGTGTGATGCGTGTGTATCAGCCTGGGAACAGGAAACCGGAAATTAGACTCACCAGGAAGCCATCTACAAGTACTTACTTCACCATTGGAGTTTTTCTCTTTTTTGTATTTACCTCCACAAATACCACGTATATTACATTGCATTTGGAGCACCGGTGTTGACCACATCACTATATATCCTTACATGGGGATTATACCGTCCATGCGTATTACAGCTGAGCTCTAATGTAGCTCAATAAAACCAAACTGGTCGAGACTGCACGGGGCCTCAGGAAAATCACGTTGCGGCAGCTGCAGTCGCTGCTGGGGAAATTGAACTGTGCATGCCAGATCATGCCCATGGGTAGGGTCTTTAATAGGCGTTTTTCGGCAACAACATCGGGGGTCGTTAGGCAGCGCCACTTCGTGCGCCTTACCCGACTACTGTGAGAGGATTTGGTGGTTTGGAGTGCTTTTCTCAGCGGGTATAATAGCAGGTCCTACTGGCAGAAGCCAGAGGTTATGAATTCCGACCTCCGTCTGATCACTGATGCGGCGGGGTCAGTGGGGTTTGGGGCCATCCTGGTGTGTGGAGTCCTGGCCGGAGTCTTGGCATTCGGTGGGTTTGACTAGGAACCTGGCGTTCCTGGAGCTGTTCCCTTTTGTGGTGGCGGTTCATCTATGGGGTGCTTTTCTACGGGATCGGCGAGTCGTGTTCCACTGCGATAACCTGGGGGGTGGTCTTTGCCATTAACAACTTAACAGCTTCCTCCCCTCCGATAGTGCGACTTTTGCAGCGTTTGTTTTGCGCTGCTTGTCCTTAAATGTTACTTGTAGAGATGTGCACATCCTGGGTGTTAAGAACATAACAGCAGATACCCTTTCTCGTTCCCAGTGGCAGGTGTTACGGGCGGCCGTACCGGACACTGAAGGTTCATCCTGCCCGACAGAACTGTGGTACCTTGGCCTGCACGAGTGAGGGCTTGGATCGGCAGCCACTTGGGCTTGGTATGGTAAGGCATGGGGTGAGTGGGTGGCCTTTGAACGGGAGAGTGGTGGTTTTGGCTCGTTCGACTATCAGGTTCAAGGTCTGTTGAATCTTTTGTGGTGGTGGGAAGCTTTTTGATAGGTCCTCTTGTAAGTCCTTATTTACATGCCCACAAGACGGCATTTAGAAAGCAAACTTAATCTTTCACAGCATAAAGTTAAATGAGTAAAAGTTCATATAACTCTAGCACAGTAATAAACACATAAGCAGCAAAAGTCATTATCACCTAAACTTTTATTTAAAAGTTAAACTTTATTACACATTTCTTAAAAAATTATTGATTTATTAAAAAAATTAATAAATGAATAAATAGAGGAATCTCCTCCAGAATTATTTAGTTCATGGGGAATGTATGCTTACTAATGCAAGGAGCCTATATAACAAAATGGGGGAACTAGAGGCAATAGCATACACTAAACATATATGATATAATAGGCATAACAGAAACATGATGGGATGAGACACATGACTGGGCAGTTAACTTAAATGGGTACACCTTATTTAGGAAGGATAGGAAAAACAAGAAGGGTGGTGGGGTATGTCTGTATGTCAGCCATGAGATAAAGTCAAATCTTAGGCATGTGGAGTGTGACGAGAAAAATGTGGAAGCTTTATGGGTAGATATCTGCTTGGGGCAAACAAAGGGAAATAAATTATTGGTTGGGATATGTTATAAACCACCAAATGCTGTTTGAGCAAATTGGGAAACGTGCAAATTATGGTAACACGTTAATTATTGGAGATTTTAATTACCCGGACATAAATTGGGATAGAGGGACTAGTACTTCAACAAGGCGAATCCGTTTTTTGAATATGTTAAATTACACCTTTATGTCACAACTAGTGATGTCTCGAACGGTTCGCCGAACGGTTCACCGCGGACGGCGAACATATGACCCTGTACCTCACAGTCAGCAGACACATTCCAGCCAATCAGCAGCAGACCCTCCCTCCCAGACCCTTCCACCTCCTGGACAGCTCACTAAGAATGCAGCTTCAAAATGGATGCTGTCCAGGAGGTGGGAGGGTCTGAGAGGGAGGGTCTGCTGCTGATTGGCTGGAATGTGTCTGCTGACTGTGAGGTACAGGGTCATATGTTCGCCGTCCGTGGCGAACCGTTTGGCGAACCGTTTGGCGAACCGTTCGGCGAACCGTTCGGGACATCACTAGTCACAACTGGTACAAACACGAACTAGAAAGGATGCTTCTTGATCTTGTCATAACAAACAATGATGATCTTTTAACCAACATTCAAGTAGGGGAGCATTTGGGAAATAGTGATCACAATATGGTAACTTTTGAAATAAACTCAAAAAAGCAAAAGCATGTGGGGTATATTAAAACGTATAATTTAAAAAAAGCCAACTTTAATAAGATTATGGCAGCTCTGCAACATATCGACTGGCATAAACTCCTTAGTGATAAAAATACTGAGGAAAAATGGAAACTATTCAAACAAATATTAGAAAGGTACATTTCACAGTATGTACCATTGGGTAATAAACATAAAAAAAATTTAAAACCATTGTGGCTTAGTAGAGAAGTAAAACAAGAGATTAAAAATAAGAAGAGGGCATTTAAAGCATTTAAATCGGACAAATCAGAGGCATCCTATATAAGATATAAGGAAGCCAATCCTTAGGGGGTTTAAAGCATTTAAATCAGACAAATCAGAGGCATCCTACATAAGATATAAGGAAGCCAATAATACTTGCAAAAAGGCAATTAAAGTGGCTAAACTAGAAAATGAGAAATTGATAGCCAAAAAATGCAAAACCAACCCCAACATTTTTTTCAAGCACATCAATTCTAAAAAAACTAAAAATTAAAGTATAGGTACACTGAAAACAGAGATGGGTCTGTTAGTCAATGAAGACCAGGAAAAGGCAGAAATTTTAAATAACTATTTTTCTTCAGTATATATTAATGAGGGTCCTATGGCAAGAGATAAGCAAATGATTGCTGCAACAAACTTGCAGATAACTTGTGACTGGATAACTCGAGACAAGGTGCTACAACTATTAAAGAAAATTAATGTAAATAAAGCTCTGGGGCCTGACGGTATCCACCCACGAGTACTTAAGGAGCTAACTGGGGAAATAAGTGAACCTCTATATTTAATTTTTCAAGATTCTTTTGTTTCAGGTATTGTACCGGAGGATTGGAGGAAGGCAGATGTTGTTCCTATATTTAAAAAGGGTTCAAAATCCTTGCCTGGAAATTATAGACCTGTGAGCTTAACTTCTGTGACTGGGAAATTATTTGAACGGCTATTAAGGGATGATATTCAGGAATTCATTGGGAAGAACTGTGTTATTAGCAATAATCAGCATGGTTTTATGAAACATAGGTCATGTCAAGCTAACCTAATTGCATTCTACGAAGAAGTAAGTAGAAGTATAGATCAGTGTGTTGCAGTGGATGTGATCTACTTGGATTTTGCCAAGGCATTTGATACGGTTCCTCACAATAGGTTAGTCTTCAAACTAAAAGATATTGGTCTAGATTAATATTCTTGTTCTTGGGTAGAACATTGGCTTAAGGATAGAGTACAATGAGTTGTCATTAATGGTAAATTCTCAAGCTGGACAAAAGTGGTAAGTGGTGTCCCTCAGGGTTCTGTTTTGGTACCGCTTCTGTTTAACATATTTATAAATGATCTTGAAATGGGCATCAAAAGCCATGTATCAGTGTTTGCAGATGACACAAAACTTTGTAAAGTAATAAAATGTGAGCAGGATATTGCCTTGCTGCAGAGGGATTTGGATAGATTGGGGGAACTAGGCACTAAAATGGCAGATTAAATTTAACGTGGAGAAATGCAAAGTTATGCCCTTCGGGGTTAAGAATGCACAAGCAATTTACACCCTAAATGGTAGTGAACTAGGGATAATCACACACGAGAAGGATTTGGGAATTGTTATAGACAACAAATTAGGCAGCAATATGCAATGTCAATCTGCCGTTGCTAAGGCCAGTAAGGTTTTGTAATGTATAAATAGGGTTATAAAGTCTCAAGATGAAAATATAATTTTGCCTCTTTATAAATTGCTGGTAAGACCACACCTTGAATATGCTGTGCAATTTTGGGCACCTGTTCTAAAGAAAGATATCATGGCACTAGTAAAAGTGCAGAGACGAGCTACAAAATTGATAAAAGGAATGGAGCATTTTAGTTATGAAGAAAGGTTAAAAAATTTAAATCTCTTTAGTTTGGAAAAACGGCGCCTGAGAGGGGATATGATAACATTATACAAATATATTCGGGGCCAGTATAAACCATTATCTGGACATCTATTCATAAACAGGGCTATACATAGGACATGAGGTCACACATTTAGGCGTGAAGAAAGGAGATTTCATCTAAGGCAAAGAAAAGGTTTTTTTTACAGTAAGAGCAATAAGGATATGGAATTCTTTGCCTGAATAGGTGGTTTTGTCAGAGTCTATACAGATGTTTAAACTACAATTGGATAAATACTTGCAAAAACATAACAGACAGGGATATAATTTCTAATTAGTGGGGTAATAGCTGCTTGATCCAAGGAGACATCTGACTGCAATTTTGGGGTCAAGAAGGAATTTTTTCCTAGTTTGTTGAAAAATTGGAAGCGCTTCAGACTGGGGTTTTTTGCCTTCTTTTGGATCAACAGCAAAAACATATGTTAGGAAGGCTGTATTTGATGGACGCAAGTCTCTTTTCAGCTATGTAACTGTAACTATGAAACCGAACATAAACTGATACAATTCCATGACTGTTTTAACTCATTCCATCCATCAATTAAACTAAAAATGTAATATTCTACTAGATTTGTGAATTTTCTGGACACCACTGTGACATGTAACAATGGCACAATCCACACCTCAGTTTACAGAAAACCCACAGACATATGCAGTTGCCTTTACAGCTCCAGCTTCCACCCCTCCCATACTAAACATCAACAGCCAAGCAACTAGGTACCATTGCATATGCTCTGACCCTAATGACTAATTCCCATCTAAATGTACTCTCCCCATCTATGAGACAGAAAGGCTACAAACCAAAGACTATTACCAAACAAATCAACTCTGCAGTAAAAACTCCATGCACGCGCCTGCTACAGTACAGAGAGAAAAAAATATGTACATGAGTACCACTTGTGGTCAAATACAACCCAATGTTAACAGAAGATGAGACTCTGAAAAATATTTTCTACGAAACACCCATTTTGGCCTTCAGACAACCACCAAACCTCCAACAAAAAGTAATCAACAGGAAGCTGCCCACTGATGGGAAGAATAAAGAAAATGGGACGGGTCAATGCAAAAAAACCTCCCTGCAAACAGTGCCAGCACATATGCACAGACAACACAACCATACACAACAATAAAACCTACAGCATTAAAGGTTCATACTCCTCACATCCAGCAGTGTCATAAACATGATTCAATCCACCAAATGCTACCTAGGATGCTATGTTGGGGAAACAACCCTGCAATTAAATGGCAGAATGAATATGCACACTCCATTAAACACCACAAAGAAGAATCCTACTACACTCCTGCGGGACATCATTTTACCCAGCCTGGCCACTCAATCAAGGACCTAAAAATCAAAGTACTGAAAAGGGGTTTTAAAAATACCCAAGAAAGAAAAACTCTTGAAGCCAGAATAATCAAAATGTTTAACAGCAAGAATAGAGGACTAATATTGATTTGGGTTTCCTGTCCCACTACCAAAACTTTACATGAACACTCCCCCAGCATTATCTTACTGATCTGTTATATGTGTCAACATTTTAAAATGCATCCCAATGAAATGTTTATTCTATCAATATACAAAGTACTTTTCCATACTCGTATGCATGTGTGCTTATATATGTGACTGTGCATTTATATTTGTGTATATGAGTTCATGTGTGTATGTGTATGCGTATACATATATATATGTGTGTGTGTGTGTATGTATAAAGTATGTGCATATATGCATACATGCTTATATATGTGAATAAGTGTATGTGTACATATATATAGGTCTATGTATGTGTAGGTACATTGGTACATGTGTAGGTACATGTATTGGTGCTTGTGTGTGGATGTATGTATAGATGTGTGTGACGGACCGCCTGGCACCCCGACTGGATGCCTGAGCCAATCACTGCTTCCTAGTACCTCAGAGTACTTCCAAGCACTCCACCAGACACCATCAGCACTGTAGACCCTTAGCCACAGCAGCTTGGCTGGAGTCTCGTTGTCCTACACCCACCCTGGATCCAAGTCAGGGATCCAGCTTCCAGTGGGTAGACCTCTCCTACTCCAGAGAGTATAGCAGGATAGCTCTTACAAGAGCTAGTGATATAGCTGGTATAGCTGTTCCCTACAATCACGAGACGAGGCTCTATGTTGAGGGTGAAGTTGAACTGTTTAATGGTAGCCACAACAGGCCTTATATGCAAGTCCCCATGCAAGGGGTTTTCCATAACATATTCCAAGGGCATTCCCCACTGGACCTGAGAAGGGACTGTAACAAAGTACACACTGTAATTACATTGGTTCTCAGGTCCAGGACACTCCCACACAAAACAGGATAATCCCTCCCCTGTGCCTGAGAGATAATTTAATCAGGGACTGTACTAAACTCAATTATCTACAGGCACAGAAAACATATATTTTACAATAACCGTTAATGGACCCCCAAAACACATGGAAACCTTACAAAAGTCATATCTTCTGATATACCCGATCTGGGGGACCAACATATCCAAATATCATCCAGATTGGTTCAGGGTGCGGGATTTCCATGGAAGTCATAATTTTGACCAACCATACACATGGTCCTATGCCCAAAACAGTTCCAGGGAATTAGGGTCAATGGTCGGTCTCTCTTTCTGGAGTACAAAAGTACATAAATAACATAAGTTTTTAAAGGGTCCATAGTCTTTTGGCAGGAGGCTGGCAAGCAGGCCCCTCTACACGTGGCAGAGGCATTTCTGCCACAGTGTGCATGTACATATATTTGTGCATTTTGTTGTATTTATATATATATATATTGTTGTATGTACTTGTATATATTGTGTATGTACTTGTGTATACTTGTACATATACAGTTGTGTATATGTACATGTGTGTGTTTGTCTGTGTATGCTGGATATAGGCCTTCATGCAAATCCTGTTAATTGGATGGGATTTCAAGCATTCTTAATATAAGTAATTATTTTGTTTTTACTCTCCCCTTCTAGCACCATCTGCTTGTTTTTTTTCTCTCTCTCCTCCCTCACTCTGTGATCTTCACACAAGATATTTACGACCCTCTGTGAGAATGGTGTCTATTTTATATCAAACCTGTGTCTTATCTGCACTCATGTCGCTTTAACCCATGTATCACAACTCAACTTTGAATTCTATGTGTCGTCTTGCTCAGAAATGCTTTAGACTTGAGAAAGGGAGGTACTTTCCCGAAAGTATGTCATTAAAAAATTTGGTTAGTCCAATAAAAAAGGTATTACAAGATCCAAATTTGACCTGTTTTTTTACATCTACATCACTGGACTAATACGGCTACAATCTCTACTTGAACTCTCTCTATATTTATATACACACACTCACACAAAATTATATTTAAATTCATGCATGTTTTGGGGTATATCTACCAACTAAACAGTGATTTTTATTGCTATTGCATTTGGACAGTGGTTTTCCTTTAATATAAAATAAAGATTAAGAAACAAAGAACCAACTAGCTGGAAGGAAAGCTTTTACAGTGGTTATTTGTGAATAATTCTGGTATTGATAACTTTAAGAGTGAATAACTTATTTACAACAAATAATTAATGACCCGCTACTGCCTTTTATTAATTAGTTAAATGGTTGAATGTCTGTTAATCATGAAGCTTGCGTCCAGACCCCACGGAGCTTCTATGATGTGAGTCTAATGCTTTATCATGAATCATCTTTGAAATTTACATTTCAAACTAAAGGTGAAACAGTGTCAGAGCAAGGGAGTCTGCATCATATACTTCAAAGAAATCCTCTATTGATTATAGCATGCTTTATCCTTGACACCATGCAGTGTTGATGCTGTACTATCAGGAAAGCTCAGCATGTGTTTTAATCCACAGGTCCGTTTATATTGCCGGAGTTCATACCTTCATTTAGATGCCACAGGAGTGTATTCATTTATGTGTTAAAAAGACATTCTAGTTTGAGTTAAAAAATAAAATATTAGAGAGAATTAAAATAAACGTATATTGGAAGTTTCTGGGGATTTTCAGCTAATGCAGAAATGTAATTTGCTTCAATGTAAGTTCCTACATTTGCAGAAAATCCACAGGCTTTGCATGTGGTGCAGTAAATTCTGCCTCAAACCAGGAAGTAACAAAGCCACACGATACCCCCTCTTTTTACCATAGCTGAGCATAAATTCATAAATATCTGCACAGCAGTGCTTTATAAGAGGTGCAAAGGTTTCTGGGAGTTGTAGTTTAATTGCCAGTTGTATACAATGATGCAATTATCCATGTCAACAGAGGGGATCCACATAGCAGGATCCCACGTTTTTTTGTGGTAGCAGTGCAAATTGTTGCAAATACCAATATTCTCCAGCAGGAAGGGCTAGAGAGCTCAGCAGATTAAGAGATTCAAGTGGCAGAGACTTGATATACCAATCTCTCAGCACTCACAGTAGAATCCCAGCACATAATTTATTATTAGCATATGACCTGCTTGGTAATATATTTATTTATATTTAAACATTTAGGATATACTTTAGCTCTGTTCATATTGAAGCCAGACTATTTGGGCTTCCTATGACCCTGTTATATAATTAGGAAACTAATAGTCCATATTTTCCTTACATATATTTCCATATTTTATTTCACTATCAGCGCTGTGTTGCTGAAAGGTTACATTTACTGAACTACTCACCTAGAGAATATCCCCAGTCTTACTACTCATAGCATTTACAACAAAAACATGGGTGTTTTTAAAAATGCATTGAGGTTTGTATGGTTTCGCCAGTTGAACGTTTTTATTTTTTTGCATCACCGCTGAGTTATGCCAGTTAGTAATTGGGTATTATGTAGTAACTCAATCTGGCGGTCTATGTTATAACATAGAAACATAGAATGTGACGACAGATAAGAATCATCTGCGCCATCTAGTCTGCCCAATTTTTAAAATAATTTAATTAGTCTCTTTTATCTAAGATAGCCTTATGCCTATTACACACATGCTTAAACTCCCTCACTGAGTTAACCTCTACAACTGGAAGGCTAGTCCATACATCCATTACCCTCTCAGTAAAGTAATACTTCCTGAAATTATTTTTAAACCTTTGCCCCTCTAATTTAAGACACTGTCCTCTTGTTGTGGTAGTTTTTCTTCTTTTAAATATAGTCTCCTCCATTACTGTGTTTATTCCCTTTATGTATTTAAATGTTTCTATCATATCCCCCCTGTCTCGTCTTTCCTCCAAGCTATACATGTTAAGATCCTTCAACCTTTCCTGGTAAGTTTTATCCTGCAATCCATGAACCAGTTTAGTAGCCCTTCTCTGAACTCTCTCTAAAGTATCAATATCCTTCTAGAAATATGGTTTCCAGTACTGCCTACAGTACACCAAGTGAGGTCTCACCAGTGTTCTGTACAATGGCATGAGCACTTCCCTCTTTTTACTGCGAATACCTCTCCCTATACAACCAAGCATTCTGCTAGCATTTCCTGCTGCTCTATTACATTGTCTGCCTACCTTTAAGTCATCAGAAATAAATCACCCCTAAATCCCTTTCCTCATATGTTAAGGTTAGGATGAAATATCTAGTCCATCTTATTACCAGCACAGAGAATAATATAAACAATGTCTACAGTTTAATGACCATGCTTCACGTATGTTTAAGATGTCATGTATATGTGTATATATATGTGTATGTATGTATGTGTGTGTGTAGAAATGTTTTCCCCTTTATTACTTTTTTCTTCTGTAACCCTTTCCCTAGTTGATTTTACCAAAATGTTATAAAAATTATTTTAAAAGAATATATTTAGACACTGATGCATGTTCATGGTTTAAAAAATATGCTCTCGGCCTAGCACTAAAAAAATAAACATTCAAATAACACTGGTGTTACTCTAAAATATCCTTTTGAAACATACATATTGTTCCTTTTATTATAAGAAATGTCAGTGGTAAATTAGTTATCTATTTGTTGTAGCACTTACAGTGATCTTTATATGGTTTACTTTATACTGAATGTAGCATATGATATTTTATCCCCGTATTAACGTTGCCATAAGGACTTTCAAAAAAAAGCACAAAACGTAACTAAGGTGAAAGATCACCATGTCTGTGATGGATTGAAATCAATACCATCAGTGATCAAAGAAAGAACTGAATTTCCAGCAAGGTTTCCTGTCTTGGCCTGAGTCTCATTAGACAGCACAGAGCTGCTATAATAAACTCATGGAGATAAGAGATGATACAGCATATTAAATCAGAGCTAATACTCAAACAAACAGTCAAAATGCAAATCACTCTGTTATCAGTATGAAATATCTCAGGTTTTTGTTTCTTAGACAAAAGAGAACTCATGGATAATGCAACATTGAAAGTGAAAAAGCCCATTTTCAGCATGAAATAAAATAATTGCTGTAGAACAATCTATGCATTATTTTTTTTCTTCCATTATTTTTCTAACGTTCTTAGTAATTCAGGTTGTGTTGGCATCAGCAGCAGATACACATAAGTACGATGTGTTTGTTAAGAGAACTAACTTCATGACCTATTGGCAAACCATATTATATATGAGTTCATGACTCTTTTTAGTGCATCTCATGGTGTATCTTCGCTCTACGGAATAAACCTTTTTAACCCTCATTGGTTGGAAGCACCACTTATTTGCTAAGATAAAGCAAAATTGTAAGCTATCTGATGCACCAAATGCTTGTATTTGGTGTCAGGATTCACGAACACGCACTAGTTGATGTTTACCTTCATGGTTTTTGGTCTGATAATCCGAGTTTCTGACACATGAAGATTTAAATTTGGCTGCCCCCATGGAGTGAAGATAAATCAGATGATGCACCAAAGGGGGATTTGCCTCGTATGCATCCTTTGCAATTAATAATTTGGAAAATAAATAAAACAAAGGCTATAATACATGTCATCTTTTATTTAACATAAATAAATATTTCAGTTTTCCTTTAAATGCATTTTTTATTTTTTTTTATGAAAGCTAAACTGGTGTAATGAAAAGTTTTAATTGCACAATCTTCTTTCTGGATCTCTGTACTTAACATAATTTAAATAAGCTGTTTTCATAAATGTTGGCAATTGGCTCGGGTAGTGTTAGATTTTGTCATGACACAAAGTAAGCCAGCATTTACAATTTACATCGTGCTTCATTAATTACAAACAGTAATTCACCTACTTCCTTTACTTGCTTTCTGCTCTTTGTTTTCATTTCCTAATTCTGACATGTCTAAAAAAATTGTGATCTTCCTCCCATTTTCTGTTCTTATTGCCGTATTTTACTGGTGACTGACAGAAAAGCAAGAGCTTTCCAGCAGATGGCAATGATGGAACAAGAACAGCTGGCTAACGATGTCCTTCTTACTCCCAAGTTCCAGGTCACTGTCTCACTTATCTTTCAAGTTCCACCTCTCCAACTCACAAGAACATCTTTGGAAGGCCTTAGTCCAGTTATGAGATTATGTACTGAAGTTGCATAACTGCAATCTATTACATTTGCTAAAATGTGATCTATGTTGCAATTTCACCTGCTTCACATAAAGCTTTTGTTAAATAACACTGATGTTTTTTTTCTGTCTGTCACTGCTTAGAAATTTGGGTGTGTACACAATATAATGATACAAAATACCCACAATGCAAATATAAAACACCTCACGCATGCCAACATCCACAGAATTTACATTAAAAAACAAAGCTAGTTAAAGCAAGTAACTAAACATGTATTTTGATAACCGTTTAAATTGCTGACACTATATAAATACACTGCATCAATGTCATATAAACAATTTGTTTGAGTAAGATTAACGGTTAACATATGGGGCTTAAATGGTGGTTTTATGAGGTGACGTTGAGCAGGATGTGTCCCAACTAACATTCTAAAAGTCACTGGGCTCCATGATACTGAAACGGAGCAGAGGTAACAATGATGAAAATGCATATTGTTAATGACTTTTTTTTAGTAGCCACCCTGCATTCTGGATGCCCAACTGTTAGTAATTGTTTTTTTGGAATAATGACACTCGCCAGGCAAAACAGAATCATTAGCAATAAATAATAATGACTGAAGCAACCACAAGAGTCCATTTCTTAAGTGCACGGTAAATACAACACAGTAATGAAGAATAAATCATGTTAACAGTGAGACACAGCTGGCAATGAAAGTCAACCTAAGTCGTTTATTACGAGGACTAATTGGAAACTAAGTTATAATGAACAAACAAGAGGAGTCCCTGTTGCCTAGTTAAGAAAATCCCATTATGCATACTAAATCCTTATAGGAAATCCCTAGTTACCTTTCTTAGTTACCAACAAAACAATGTCTTCCAGCTTTTGATGCCAAGAACATTCAATTTTCACTCAAAAAAACTCAAGGACAATACGGGGTTTAGGATGACACTAAGAGTTTGTTCCTTTTTAAGCAATACTCCTGTCTTATACTATTTCACTTTTCACTGATCAAAACACATATATAGTGCTTCGGCACTAACACCACTCTGGGAATTATTATTCACCAGAGAGATTCAGAATTATGAATAAAGACAATGACATACACTGGAAACTCTGAACCTCATGACAAATTCCATCTCACTCAGATCCAGTTTTAATAACTTCAATGTTAAACAATCCTTTGTGTGTATTAGATATAGATATTAAAAATGTCAACATTCTGGTCTCCAGTGAGGCAATCATAAGAATATTATATATGCTTCTTGTTATTTGATTTCTCTAGCAGTTCCCCTCTGTATATATCTAACATGTTATACTACTATTTCATTTTATAAAATAACATTTTAGTTTTCTGATGATGTCCCTCATAAACCAAACAGGCTTAAGGTGAGGTATTCATAATTTTAATAAAATAGGTGTGAACAGAAACGTCCAGGCACACCTGCTAGCTTCTACAAAGAGTCAGTCTTTTATTCAGGAGTACAGAAGATAAACAATGTTACTAGTGATGTCCCGAACAGTTCGCCGAACGGTTCGCGAACGGTTCGCCGCGGACTCATCATTGAGTATACTTTGACCCTGTACCTCACAGTCAGCAGACACATTCCAGCCAATCAGCAGTAGACCCACCCTCCCAGATCCTCCCACCTCCTGGACAGCATCCATTTTGAAGCTGCATTATTAATGAGCTGCCCAGGAGGTGTGAGGGTCTGGGAGGGAGGGTCTGCAGCTGATTGGCTGGAATGTGTCTGCTGACTGTGAGGTACAGGGTCAAAGTTTACTCAATGATGAGTCCGCGGCGAACCGTTCGTGGCAAACCGTTCGGGACATCACTAAATGTTACAGCACATCCCTTGTGCTTTTGTCAATAAAAATGGTCGTGCAAAACAGACTATAGGGAAGCTTCACAGTCAAATATACCCCACACGGTGAGAATTATTTTATACATGCCCAATTTATAGGGTAATTAACTAGTGGGTAAAGCACTAAGGATTAATTTTCCCAATTATTCTTACTATGTGCCTGTAAGATGGTTAATAAAAGGTATTTATCAAAGTGTTCTGAAAAGTTACATTTACATTTCATCATTATTTTGATCATATACATTAAAGTATTTTAAAAATGATTTTAAAAAGTGACAGATATCTTCATAGTAAATAATGCTTGTTTTTTTGCAGAAAATGATACCTCAGATAACCACAAATTTAAAAAGAGAGGTAAGACAAAACCTTTTTTATGTCGGAAAGGTGGAGTAAAGTTTGAAAAATCTGTTGCATCTTCAAAAATGAAGAAAGAAGTAACAAGTGAAAAAGAAGCAGTATATTTAAAGGAACACTATAGGGTCAAGAATAAAAAAGTGTATTCCAGACCTTATGGTGTTAAAAAAACATTTCAGGTGGCCTAAAATGTATGTATGTATATATATATATATATATATATATATAAAATGTAGTTTTTTTTTGCCAGTGCCGCTCAGGTCTACCGGTGCTGGCCCCATCCACTCTCCAAACCCTTGGCTGGGGTAATCAGAATTGATGATCCCAGCCAATCCAATGCTTGCCCATAGGAAAGCATTGATAAGCTAGCAAGCATGCCTGGCAAAATGCCGTGCTGCGTCGATCAGCATCTTCTTATAGAGTACTCAATGCATCTCAATGAAGAACGTTCAATGCCTCCATGCAGAGCACTGAGCCAGGAAGCACCTCTAATGGCTGTCTGAGTGACTGGCACTGGAAGGGTCACTAGACAGTAATGTAAACACAGTGTTTACATTAACATGCCTGCAAGTACAGGCAACAGACACCAGAACCAATACATTAACCTGTAGTTTTTCTGGTGACTAAAGTGTCCCATTAAGAAATTGCATTGAACGTTCACCGAAAATTAGACATGCATCTCCCCCACTCAGTGGCGTACACATGACCCATGGGGCCCCGGTGCGAAAATTGATCCGTGGGCCCCCCCGTGTGCGCGGGCCGGGCCGCAACACATGGCGGTGGGCACCTGTTCGCAGCGGTTACAGGGCTCCGACCCCTGCGACCGCGGTATGTACGCCAGTGCATGCAGATGCACACACACTTAAAGGACCACTACAGACACCCAGACCACATCAGCTCAATGAAGTTGTCTGGGTGTCAGGTCCCTCTAGTTTTAACCCTGCAGCTGAAAACATAGCAGTTTCAGTGGCTGTCTCACTGACAACCGCTACAGGAGCACACTGAACGTCCATAGGAAAGCATTGAGTAATGCTTTCCCATGGGCGGTTTGAATGCGTGCGCGGTCGCATTCGGAGCTGAGGGATCCCCAGCGCCAAGGGAGTCCGGCGCTGGAGAAAGGTAAGTGCTGAAGACACACACACTCTCACTTACAGACGCATACACACTAGCTAACAGACACACACATTTACTGACAGAGACACACTCAGCGACAGACATACATACACACTCACTTACAAAACATACACTCTCATTGACAAACACACACTCACTAACAGACATCAAACAGACTCACTAACACACACATACACACTCAGTAAGACACACAGTAACACTCACACTAACACTCACTAGCAGACACACACACTCTAACACTCACTCTAACACTCACTCTAACACTCACTCTAACACCCACACTCACTCTAACACACACTCTAACACACACAAACACAGACTCTAACACACACACACACACACACACTCTAACACTCACACACATACACACACTCTAACACACACTCACACACACACACTAACACTCACACTCACACACACTTTAACACACACACTCTAACACTCACACACACTAACACTCATACATGTTTTTTTTTTTTAATGTAATCCCCCAGCCTCCTTACCTTTTGGAGTGCTGGGGGGATTCCCTGGGGTCCAGTGGTGCTGCTGACCCCAGCTGGTGGGTGGCCGGTCGGGCAGGCGGGCGCGCGAGGGAGCACTCAGTGCTTCCTCTTCAGCTCCCTCGTGCGCCGCGTAGGGATGCCGGCGCCGGAAGATGACGTCATCTTCCGGCTCTGGTATCAGTGCGGTGCGCGAGGGAGCTGAAGAGGAAACACTGAGTGCTCCCTCGCGCGCCCGCCTGCCCGACCGGCCACCCACCCACCAGCTGGGGTCAGCAGGGCCAGCCTCGGGGGGCCCTGGGTGGGCTGGCTCCTGGGCCCCCCAGGAGAAGAGGCTGGCCCAGTGGCTACATACCGGGTCGCAGGGACGGCCGGGCCCCCTGGTGGGCCGGGCCCGGTCGCAACCGCGACCACTGCGACACTGGTATGTACGCCACTGCCCCCACTGTTTCTTTAACTCTCACATGACTGTCCATGGTGTGAAGGAATAAGATGAGCATTCACTCTGGATAACAGATGACTTCATTTGATATGTACTTATCTCATTGTTTGTGACTTCATTTGTATCAAATTACATTTATTTGGAAAGGCAATAAGACTGTAGGAAATTATAGTTCAGACTTATTCAGAGTTTTGAGAACAGTAGAGAAATTGGTGCAAGTGAATCTCTATATTTTTTTGCTAAAATATGTTAATTTAAGTAAGCTTGTGATTTTAAGTTTTTTTACTTGGAAACCAGGGATCTCATACTAATGTGCTGTGAAGTACTAATCAATGTAAAGCGGCAGTGTCATGCCGAACTTACCTTTCTTTAATCGATTCCTCTTCTCTCCTTCTATCAGGATCTGTTCTTCATTTCCTCCTGTCTGCTGTAGTTTTCTTTAAAACATAAGACAAAGTAGGGACTATTTGTCTTATGGAGGTTTCCTACGCCTGACCATCTCTGAACAGCGGATACATTTTCCCACAATTCTAAGCTTTCCTCCCTGTTCCCACAATGCTTCTTGTCAGTATTCCCGAACGTCCTGTCACTTAGACAGGACGCTGGCGAAACTGCCAAATTTCATCCCAAAAGAATGAGAACAGTTTCTCCATTCGTGTTAGGACACAATTCAGGACTTTGTTCGTATCGGAATTTCGAAACTCCGATCCTATTCGTGCCGCAGCTGCATCTTGCAGCCGCTTAGTAGATAACTCCCTAATTCCCACGGTATCAGGGAGCTGTCTACCAAAAGGCTGAAAGACCTAAATTGGTCTTTCAGACAAAATTTACTAATACTAAGTAAAGATTACTTAGTATTAGTAAATGCTGCCCCTACTCGCTATACCGCGAGTAGGGGCATGTCTAGTAAACAGCGAGCAGCCGGGTGGTCTGAAACTTATGATTTTAAGTAGCCTTGTAAAACTTAAAACTATATATTTTGTTCTGTACCTCTACTGAGAAATGCATATTCCCCTGTTTTCTAGTAGACAAATTGTGTCACTGCCTTTTCTTTTACTCAAACTAATAATTGACTAATAATCCCTTCAGATGTCTCACTGGTTGTGTCTTAAATATTGAACAACTGTTTATTGATTAGCTCATCCATTTAGAATTTCAATTCTCTATACACAGTTACATTTTTCTATTGTACTTGCTTAAGGGGAACAAAACGTGGTAGAAAATAACAGTATCTGTCTCTGCTCTCTCACTTGCCGCTGTGGCAGGTGGAGCTGCAAAAAGATTACAGTGCCTCTATGCTTAGTTTTCATAACGTCAACTGTACTGTGGCTAGAAACCAGAAAAAATATATTGTGATAGTTTCTCTCAGTGGTAGAAAGACATTAGGAATTAAGCAAGAATTGGGATTTGTCCAGCATCCATAGTTTGACATAATATATTTAACAATTACCGTATTTATCGGCGTATAACACGCACCGGCGTATAACACGCACCTCATTGTAAGAGGGAAATTTCAGGGAAAAAAAACTTAAAGGACCACTATAGTGCCAGGAAAACATACTCCCACCCTCAGGGACCCCCTCCCGCCGGGCTCTGGAGAGAGGAAGGGGTTAAACACTTACCTTTCTCCAGCGCCGGGCGGGTAGCTGTACTCCTCCTCTCCTCCTTGCTCGCGACGTCATCGGCAGGAGCCGCATGCGCATTCAGCCGGTCGCATAGGAAAGCATTTACAATGCTTTCCTATGGACGCTTACGTGCTCTCACTGTGATTTTCACAGTGAGAATCACGCAAGCGCCTCTAGCGGCTGTCAATGAGACAGCCACTAGAGGCTCTGGAGGCTGGATTAACCCTCAGTATAAACATAGCAGTTTCTCTGAAACTGCAATGTTTATAAAAAAAAGGGTTAATCCTAGAGGGACCTGGCACCCAGACCACTTCATTAAGCTGAAGTGGTCTGGGTGCCTAGAGTGGTCCTTTAAATTTCAAATAAAGAACTTCTTTTCCCCTTCCCCCTCTTATCCCCTTCTTACTCCCCCTCCCCCTCTTCTTACCCCT